TATCGATATATTTTTGTCAAATTTTTATGATATCTTCAAACATATATTTTATTCAAAAATAAAAACATCATCGTTTTCTCAAAATCACATAAAACCATATTATAACATTGACTGAGATAAAGAATAAAATGAAATATTAAAATCACGATGTATCTCGCTGCATTGCGCGAGTACGCTTCTAGTATAAAATAATGTATTTAAGAACAATATTCATTATTATCAGATATATATTTTCAAAACTTAAAGAACATAAATAAACGAAAAAAATATTAATCTAAAATAATAATTACCAAGAATAACAAACAAATTATGGTATAAAATTACCAAATATTTTTTTTAGTATGACTGAAAACATGTTTAATACATGTATTTATAAAATATTAGAAAAGTATTCGCACAATACAACGAGACATATCTCGAATTTAATGTTCTATTTTATTCTTTGTCTCTGTCGATGTTATAATACGATTTTATGTGTTTTTAAGAAAATAATAATGATTTTATTTTTGAATAAAATATAAATTTAAAGATATCGTAAAAATTTGAAAAAAATATATTAATGTTAATATCAAACCAACTATTTAAAAGTTTTCATGTTTTATGTAATTTCTTTAATTTATTTTTTTATCATAATTTAATTTAAGTTTAATAATGAAATAATTTATTTTTGGTTCAATAATCTAACATTTTACAAATATAATAATTAAGTATTCTGTTAGAGCTCAATGATTATCCTAATTATATTTTAGATCTTTTATATTTAAAATGAGAAGTTTATCCTGTATTTGATTGTGCTTATCTGCAGTTAGTTACACGAATTCAGATATAGAGCTTTAATACGTTGTACTTACGCACAATTTACTTTTGTAATCTTGAGTTTTAAGTAATATGCATTAATAAACAGTACTTTACGCATACAAAATGATTTTTAAGAATTATTGTCAAATACTTTATAATATAGTATAGATATTTTGATTATTAATTAAATATTAAGCTTTCAGTTAAAGACAAATCACATAAACTGGAGTAGCCAACTTAAGTATTGTATATTTGATCATCAAAACTATGTTCTTCCCATAAACAATTCTGAAAAACAAATGCTTACGTTTCGTACAAGTTGCCCACTGGTTCTACACGTCGGAATCTTTTTCACACATACATACACACACACACACACATATATATATATATATATATATATACACATATATATATATATATATTATATCACTATATAAAATGGAGGTTCAATGATAACACCGTAATTTTATGAAAACGTGAAAATACCCGTATTACATGTGATAATACATATGAGCGGACCTGGTGGTGTGTGGACGACTTGACTTGTGGCCTAGGATGCATCGTCTGCGTCTTAGTATCACATATGATGGATTATAGTACGAGAACACCCTTATTACATGAGATAATGAGGAGGCTAGTGGTGTGCAGGTGAGATCATCCGTGGCTCTAATTTAGTATCACATGTGGATCATTTATAGGTGATGGACATGGACTATAAAATACACGTAATTGATTATAGTAAAAGAGTGTTTTAGCGTTCTTTTACGGTTGCTCCCTACAAAAAAAAAAAAACAAAATTTTATATTTTGGAAAAAATTAAAAAGAATTAATTTGAAGGAGAAGAATAAGTGCATAATAACCATAACAATAATTTGCTTTTTCATTATATAAATACCGAATTAAATAAGCTGCATACATACTTATATGTATAATCTAAGTGTACGTATATATGAAGTTTCACATACACGTTTTGCATCGAATTTGTTGATGATCACAAAATGAGTTCAAGTCAACTCCGGTGGTGTCGGCAATGGCGAGTTCCGACACACCGGACAGGTAGGATGAACCTTCAACCACTTATCTATACACTTCACATGAAACAAGTGGCCGCATTTTGGCATTAACCGGATGACGTTCGCCGGATTATAATCCGCCAAACAAATAGAGCAGCCGGAGCCATAATTAACGGCCTCAGAGTAAAGAAACGTAGGGAAAGTGGAGAGGACATCATCGTCGAAACCTTGATGGAGTGCTCTCATACAGCGGTTGTCGTCGGAGTCGGAGTCCGTGGGCGGCGGTGGCGATTGAGAGCTCATCCTACGCTTGCAGAGGTAAGAAGTGTAGCAGATGGTGAATATGAAGAAGATGACGAGGAAGGAGAATCCAAGATCGTAGCCGATGCTGCCACGGCTAGTTCCGGTGGTACTGTAGGATGGTTCTCCGGCGTCCACTGTGGCGTTCATGTTCCCTCTTCTCAACTCTCACGAGAAAGTGGAGTTGAACGAAGCTTTCATTGCCTTTGTAATTTATTTTTATCGATTATAAAAATAATATATTTTCTTGAAAGAGAATAAAATATAAAAAATGGCTAAACTTTCATCGATTTCGAATTTTCTTTTCTTTTAAAATATATATAAATAATGAAATTGACAATTTCCGTTTATAAATCGACGAATAGCAACGTCGCCGACGATAATGTATAATATATGTATGCATATTTTATATTTATTACAATATTATTTTATATATGAAATTAGATGCAAAAGACCCTAATCTAAGTTCAACAATGCTACATGCGTTCTTTTTATATTTATATTACTAGCAATGTATCCGTATAATGTATCAGGTAAGTAAAATTGAAATGGAACAAGAATCACCAGAAGATTATAAAATAATGATAAACTAGTTCTTTCATTTGAATTTTACAATTCAAACAAAAAGTAAAAAAGGAAGGTAAATGGTATTGGGGGCAGAACATCAATAGAGTTATAAATTTTAGTCTCTTATGAAGACATAAAGGGTCAAAAGTTTTTGAAGAATTCAAAACATGCATACAATGCTTGTATATTGTGCTTGTAAAAATGGATGTTGAAGAAAAAAAAAGAAAAATTTATACCAAATAGGAGCTTTTGAGACTATTGTAGAAGAAAAGGGAGTATAGGACTCCATTTTTGGTTGTGCTGAAAAATCAGTGTATTAATAAGTTGTACACCATGCATACAATCTTGTAGTTAAGAGATTTTTTATTTTGTGCTGTAAAAGCTCAATGCATTAAAACTTGTATTTAAGACTTTGGTTTAAATGTTTATTAATGTAGTATAGATAATCAAGTTAATTCATACATTGAGAATTAAAAGAATTAGGTTTTGCTAATGTTGATATGTGTGAGGAAAAAATTTAGAGGTAAAAATGCATTTAACAATACATATATATACACACACACACACACACTTAACCCATCCAAAATTAGATGAAGTATTCTGTGTGAAGGAGAATTAATGTGAGAAGCATAAGAAGAGTTTTGGACTCTTGATTACCTTTAATTTCAAACTCACTCATGAATCACACTTGATACGAGAATTGATCCGGTAAATCTCATTCTAATGTGCATTCAATTGTAGAGATCCTTTTGTTTAACTTTTCTGCTCATCGGAACCCAACCTTCTAAATTACACACACACACACACAGATATATATATATATATATATATATATAAAGAGAGAGCCAGAGAGGTTCATATGAGAATAATAACTAAATATTAAATAAGAAAACTCTCGAATCATATACAAGTTTATATTAAAATCACATATAATTTGAACTATTTTTATATTTTTTATTTAGTTACCCGTTTTTGTGTAATGAGCCGTTTACTAAACACTTATTCGGTAAGTCCTTATTGATAAATTTTAACACTATCATTTACTTACCGGGTAATATTTTAATCAACCAAAACGACATCGTATGCAACAATTTACCTGGTAAGCGCTTATCGTGGTAAGAGTCGTCGTCCTCACTTATCGGGTAAGACGCTTGGTCCTTGTCTCGCTCTTATTAGGTAAGATTGTTGATCCTTATTATATTCATCCGGTAAGATAATTAGATAAGCGTTTGGTAAACGGCCCGAAATATATTTAAACGTGGTGATGATGAACTATCCCTTTGATGTGGTTGTCAAGTTGTAGGTGAGAATCTATATTAATTATCAAAGTCAATTGTTTGGCCACTTTGTATGTTAAATTTAGATATAACATAGAAATATAGATTAAGGCAGCATGTTTCATTTCATTGCAATTTAAACCAATTTGTTAAATTATGATTTTCATGTCTTAAATCAAACCAAATCATAATAAATGGAGATTGGTACAAAACCCTAATTCATGACCTTGATCCCAATATATAATAAAAAAGAAATATTAATTCTTTTTGCCAATAATCCTAAGTTGAATATTATATAAAAAAAGTAATTAATACATTTATACATATGTTTTTATAATTAATATGAGAATAATAAAGACATACACTAGGTTGGATAAGGATGTATAGTAAAAATAAATTTAAAAGAAAAGAAAAATAATAATAAATATCAATTTGACAACTTCGGTTTGACTTTCTGAACTAGTTTTGTTGATAACGACTAACTGAGGCATTTTATTGGAGGAATTTCTCCATTTTAATTGTCGATACTTTTAAGGATTAAAGTATTAAACAGACACCCATTCGTGATTCACAAGAGTCAATCCAAACTATACAGATTTGTTAAATCATCAAAATTTTCAAGATTTGTTAATTAAAATCTCGATGAGAACATGGATGAGCTGGGACCTGGTGCTATGATAAGACGACAATTAAATAAGCCTTGGTGTTGAGTTAGGCGTCGTTTGGTTGTTTTCCGTTAAGTCTTGTATGGATTAAGTTGATAAATTGATGCCCGGTTGTTGACTTGTTGTGCTCAACAAAAAAATTGAATGACAAAATACTTATCGTACTCTTCAATCTATATTGGATTAAAACTAGTTGTCTACTCGTGCAATGCGGCGAGATGGAAAAATATTTTTCAAGTACAAAAAGCTATAGCAAGTTCAATTCAAATACCCTCTCGTCACATACCGCCTCATTTTTCTCACTCACACACCTCCCCCATTGGACGAGGGGTAAAGATATAATACATCAAAATTTTCTCATTTTGTATATCCATGGTAGGATGGAGCTTCTATCTATCAAGCTGCAAATCAACCAAACAGAAATCAACTGTAGTTGCTTAATTATCGATCCATATGATATGTTTTCTGTTTTCTAAATTCTAGAAGCATTTGAAACAGCTTCACTGAATATAAGAAAAAGTGAAAGCAAACAAATAACCAATAGGTAAATTGGTGCTTTCCCTGTTCCATAACAACATCATTCTCACATCTTTACCAACATCATCTTCGAAACATTACAAACAAAGCTTTCATCATAGCTAAAATATGTATCTTGGTAGTGGTACAAAAAAACATTGCATCATTACCATCAAATTAGGACCAAAACAACACCACTAAAAAAATTGGGTTTACACCAGCAAAAAGAAAGCTATACATCTAACCTAACCGCAACGATTGTTCCTGATGCAAAACAAGTGTAGCATCCTTTAGCTTCAAATCAAATCTTTTGTTTCATCAATTTTCAGCACCCAAAAATAATCAGAATCGTCATCTGAAGTAAAGGATAATCACTTCTAAAGCAAGGTCAACTATCACTTTAGGTCATAAATTAAAAAACAAATACTCTAAAAAAGAGAAGCAAAAAGGATTTTCTTTTTCAACTGTTTCCTAGAATCTTTCAAGAAAACTTTTAGTATAAAAACAAGCTATTGTGTAAGCGGAAAAATTTCAAGTAATAAATAATTTACCTTCATTATTATTATTTTCATTTTTTTTATTATTATAAAACACACACACGTACTTATATATACATATATGTTAAATAAATATAGAAATTAAAAGAAGTTTAAAAATTGGACTAAAGATGAAAGAAAAAGTCAAGACATGGATGAAAATTGTAAATTTGTGATAGTTAAAGGGGTGTGTAAGGTGTTAACAGGTCCAAACCAAAAGGACTTGTTATGTAAATATGCCATTTTCTGATTTTTGAAAGGGATGGAACGATGCCAACTTTGAGGCTTCTTATTGACTCGTTCAGTCAACCAATAAGCCAAAAAAAATCAGGGATATATAGACAACGTTTCCCTCTACAGTTTTCGTTCAAATCTTTTGAAATTTCGTTGAGAATCGAGAGAGAAATCGGAGTTCGAAAGTCCCCATCCGAAATCTTCGTTTTTCGTCGATTAGTGGTAAAATACTCAACTAAAATTCATGTTCTTTATATGGTTAGCTTCGTTTTTTTAGTCCTCTATAGAACCCTAGTAGTCTCACATTCCAGATTTGGTGTTTTATGGTTTGATTTTGAAGTTTAAAGTTTAGTTCGGTTTAATTTAAAACTAAAACTTTAAATGAGTAAATGGAACCTATTTCTTAATGAAAATTCGTGTTCTTTATGTCAAAGTGTTGGTAAAAATATTACCAAGAGTTTGGTGCAAAAAAAATGAGGAAAAAACGTCAAGAAACGAGCTATTTTCGAGGTTGAAAAGTTTCAATTTGCAGCATGGCTGCTGTCATGGCCTGGGTGACGGGCTGGGTCGACCAGACCCAATAACCGCGTCCTCCTACCTTAAGAAAAAATAGCGCATACCTAGCCTACGGGCTGAGGGCAAGGCTTAAACCCGTGACCTCAGCCAAGAAGCGTCGAGCGTTAACCAGTAGGCTAGGTATGCGTTTTGTTATTTATTATGCACTGATATTGTTATTATACACTAAATGCTTAAGTTTCAGAAATTAGCATTTAGTCTCTTCAATTTCTAGAAATAATTTTCTCCATAATAATTTTATGAGACTTTCATTAAGTTTGTTTGTATTTTGTAAAATGCAAATTTTGACCTCATTTCGATTATTTATCTTGTTTAGTTACCAAAATGACCCTATAAATGAAAAATCGGTATTTTAGCAATACTTTGCATATTTGCTTCCAAAATTTACCGAAATAACAATATATCTTGGGGATTGGTCTATGAGCTTCATTTTTTTATATTATATTATTATTTTTATAAATATACCAAAATGCCTCTAAAATTAAAGAATGTGTATTTTGAGAAATACGTGACCATTTTGTTTTATAAAAATACCGTCAAGGTTGAAATTTACTACTTTAACTATGTAATTATTTGGGGATAATTAGAATGAATCATTTAAATAATTCGATGATTTTTTTATGAGATTAAAGCGTAGCTCTTGAGTTTATATTTTATATATATATATATATATATATATCTATCGTCTAGACATTTATTTTATAAAAGATGATTTTATGGAGTTATAAAATAAATAATTGACTATACGAAGTGTTACTCGAGTTGTAAATTTATTAGGACGCTTTTAACTCGAAA